TTAAATAAATTAAGAGAAAGTTTCTAGTCCACGGTTCCGTCTACACCCTCGCCCGACTCGTCTAATCAATTTTAGTATCAAAACTCGCTATCTTATAGAATTACTAGCCCTAGGTAACAACACAGTCAGTTACACGAATTTTTTCTTATTTTTAATTTAACCACGAGACGCTCTACGATTAAACCTGACTTCTTGTACAGTCCAGAAAAACGTTTTCAAGATTTAATACAATTAGCCGCTTTACGGATTAGAAAAATAGGCTAGACTAAGTAGTGAACTCAACCGCGTTCCTTCACTTAAATAGGCCATGTTATCCCTGGTAGTTACCGTCTTTCGGTTACCTCTTACGAATTAAACACAACAACAATTATGGATTGAAGATCTAATTCAGATGTAGATATGGAAAGCCTAATCTAGGTGATCAATCTAAACAAGACTAAACACATCATGGTTAATTATTCAAAATAACACAAGCAATTCCAAAAAGATAACTCAATAATCAACCACGAAAATTAATCAAATATCGTCAAATCATATGGTTCGCTCTTCCCAGGAACTAGAAATAAAACCTAGCCTAACATAATAAATAAAGATAAAAAGAAAGAGAATAGAATTATCCCTCGTTCGTGTACGGGTGCGGCCTCCCTCCGCGATTGCCGAGTTCCGCCGTCTTTTTCCTCTCTTTTCTGTTCACGTGTGTGTCTTTTTTTTTCCTCTGTTGTTGCGTCTTTCTGGCTGCGTGAATAAGGGCTTCTCCATATCTGCGTAAAATAAAATCCCTCCTCAACGTGGGTGGCGTGTTGGCAAATAAATCCTTTCCTAGTTTAAGCTATGGGCCAATAATAACTCTCCAAAGAGTTTTTGCCAAAATAAATCCTCAATCATCCAAATAATTCCTGAGAGTGGCGTGAGTTTTCTCAATTGTATTACTTCCTTTGGGCCCCACACTTCAAGTCCATCAATTATTTGTTATACAAGCTCATACAAAAATCTGTGCGGCACATTGACGGGTATTGGAAATGCCCGATAATTAATCACGTAAACTTCCGTCCAATATTGCGTCGTCCATGAAAACACTCTAATATTCTAAAAATAAACATAAAAATATCATAGCACTCAAATTCATCTAATAAATAAATAAGTCGAAAAATATATAAGTGCGATAAAATTAAGCATATAAAAATACGTTAATAAACATGTAAAATACACACTTTTTCCCACCAATCATACATCAACTATATTCACAATCTAATAGACACTAATGTATCCCTATATATATGAAAAAGGTTTGTTTAATTTTAAAATAGTAACTGTTTCCTGCCCAAAAAAATTCTATTTACTATTTTTGGAAATAAATTAATTAGTATATAGGAGTGATCAACGACACTAAGCAGTGATTGTCCTCTAACTTCGAAATGAAGGACATGGGTGAAGCTAGGTATGTCCTAGGAGTGGAAATAATGCTAAATCGTCCTAAGAAACTTCTTGGTTTATATCAAGTAACATATATTAAAAGAACTTCATTATCTATGGAGACCACTAGAGGTAACCTATCCCCCTCCTCCCCCCCCCATCTCCGAAAGATAATTGTATTTCCTGTTGTAACTCATACAACTGAAGGTCTTTCTTAATTCCACCAATACTTACTCAACCTCAAGAAAATTGACATTGCGTGAGTCCAGCTCGTCATTCCATCATCTGGATGTTCACCAAACAAAACATACTCTTTTGAATGTTCAGGGTATCTAATGAACACCATTTTGGTAGCTCTTGGACCACGTTTTCCATATTTGTGAGTTTGGTTATGCACATAGCCAGCGGAACCCCAAGGGCGTAAATGGTCTAAAATGGGTGATTTTCCATTCCACAACGCATATGGAGTGAGTGACACACTTTTACTTAGTAAACTATTAAGGATATATGTTGTAGTTAGCAATGCATCTCCCCAAAATTTAATAGAGAGATTGGCTTGCGCCATCATCGACCTAACCATGTCAAGCAATGTACGATTTCTGCTTTCAGCAATACCATTTTGTTGCGGAGTATCTGAAATCGTAAGTTGCCTTGAAATACCTTTAGTCTCACAGAAATCTTTGAAAATATCAGAGAGCTATTCACGTCCCAGGTCAGTATGAAGAGTCTTAATTCTTTGTTCCTTTTGCTTTTCAACTTCGATCACAAAACGTTTGAACATATCAAGTGGTTCGTGCCGATGAGATAATAGGTACAATACCCAAAACGTGATATTCATCTATAAAGGTAATAAAATATGTAGCCCCATGACGAGCTTTTATATTTAAAAGCCCACAAATATCAGAATGAATCAACTCTAAAGGATTTGATGGTCTTGATGCCCAAAATGTATTTTAGTAGCTTTTCCGGCTAGACAAGGTTCACTTTTAGGCAATTTAACCTTGGTCAATTATCCCAAATGTCCCTATTTAGCTAGCCTGGACATTCTATCTTGACCAATATGACCAAGTCGCGCATGCCATGTAATAGATTCAAAATCAACATTATGACATGAAGCAAAAACATGTGATGAGCTATTATAACTTTCATCCAAGTCAAGAACAAAGAAACCATTCTTTAAAATACCACGTCCAAAAAATTGTCATGATATAAAATGTCAAAACCACTAGTATTGAAGTTAAAGGAAAAACCATGTTTGAACAAGAAAACAACTTAAAGTAAACAACTTCGCACACCAGGAGAATAGAGAGTATCATGCAGGAGTATTGTATTTCGACCATGTAGTTAAAGTTGGTATATTTCAACCCCAAGGACATCTTCCTCGCTTTCATTTCATAACATGATAGTTTGAGTGCCAATAGAAAACCGGTGGAACTCCACAAATACAGATCTTTCATGAACTATGTGCTTGCTTGCTCCCGTATCTATAATCCAATTAGGAATAGAATTAACAACTAATTCATGGGAAGAAACAAATAGTTCAAAAGAGTTAGTGATATAAGGTATCTTTTTCGGCCAAGCGCAATCACGAGCGATATGACCTTTCTGTCCACAATTATAGCACTTCACACGCGTTATTTTCTTCTCCCTTTGGCCATGTGCCATTAGTTGTTTCTTTGAACCACCATTTGATCCTGAAGTTTGAGAAGGATGAGAAAATTTATTGGCTCTTTTGCGGTTATTTCCCTTGGTTAGACCACCATGGACAACAAACGCTACATTGGAAGGTACTAACGTTCTCTGATGTTCTACTTTCATTTCAATATGTTTAGCGAGTATTGAAAGTGTTCTTACGTTCTTGCTATGAGCCATGAAGAGCTTGAAGTTCTTCCAACTCTTAGAATCATTTGGAAGTGAATGAACCACATTTAGATATGCTCCTCATCAGATACATCTCGCCGTGCATCATTTAGGTAACGTATCATGGCACTCATGATATGCAAATGTTCGACAACAGAGTGATGAGGATCTATATTGTAATCCATCCACTTTAAGTTGAAGGCATGGAGCCTAGTAGTCGAAGTTTGCCCGAAGGTAACCTTAAGCTTGTCCCACATGTCTTTAGACGTGGGCCTATTCTCAAACTCTCTGATAAGGTCATTATGCATGCTATACAACATACTATAGCATGCAAAACAATCTTTTTTAGACCACATTTGATAGGTTGTCAATTCTTCCTTGTACTGCGCACTATCAGTATCCTTTGTCTCAATCACAGCAGTGGATAAGGTTTCCAAAACCTCGCATTCATTAAGAAGATACTGAATTTACCTATACGACATGTCGTAATTGGTACCATCTAGCTTTTCGTTGGAGGATAGATCTCCAATCACAAATTTAGTTGTCATCTACAAGTATATAAAATGGATTCTAGGCATGAGGTCAATATAATTAAATTATTATTTTTTTATGCCATGAGTTCAAAAATTTCGCCAAGCTCATAATCATCATAAATAACACAAAACAAATAAAAAATTAACTAACATTATTCTAATGAAAAATATTCATTTATTCCTGTTATTGTTTAACAAATAAACACAAATATGAAAATCACAAAGATATTTAAGGTCTCATAACATGAATAACATATATTCATGTATCATATTAAATATTTATTTAAATATCACTTAGATAATTTAAATAATAACAAGAAGTAGGCAAAATATTTTTAGAATATTTATTTATAGTTTTCATCATAATAACAAATATTATGACAATTTTGAAAAGATTTTTATTTAATGGTAAAGATGAATACCATATAAATATTTAAATACCATAATAATCACAAATATTGTGAAAGAAGAAGATATAATAAAGAGATTGGTAAAATCATTTTTTATCATCATCACATCAAAATCTTCATTCATATAATAGTTAGGCCACAAAACCTAAATATTCCCCCATCTTATTTTTTTTTTTTAAAGATACTTTCATGATCACAAATTAATGAATGTCACACATTCCATATTTAACACTTAGTTAATTAAGAGAATAAATTTTATGTAACAAATACACGGGCTCTGACACCATTGTTAGTGGCTTTATATAACACAAACACACACATACACACACACACACACACACATATATATATTTATATTTATATAGAAGTGTGCTCAAATGAGAAAGGGAGATGGTGAAAGAAATTAGAACAAATCTTGATCATTGGATACATCATATCAATGGTTAGGATCAAGTCAAAATGGTCAATCATTAAAGGCAACATTGTAATTTAACATACACATTGTGGTCAAATACACATTTTTGTCCACTTAGTAACGGTAAAATGGACATTACACATAAATTACAACTCATCCACCCAGTGGGCTTCACCACCTCCACCATAATTAATCTCATTCTCTCTCTATCTCTCTCCCTCTCTCTCTCTCTTTCTCTATCTCTCTCTCTCTCTCTCTCTCTCACACACACACACACATACACACATTAAAATCTGCTGAAATTATGTCGCGTCTCCTCAGTCCCCCCCACCAGAAACGAAGCTCGCCATCACCTACTGCCACCCACCGTCATCTCCGACGCCCGACGCAGCTCCGCCAGTCACCACCAGATACAGCCTCCGTCTGCCACAAACACGAGGGCCCATTCCACCGCAGACAGTCGCCGGTCAGCCTCCGTCCAAGCTTCACGCCGGCCAGCCATGTTTCTCCTTCGACGAACACCGCCGGAATCAGCTCTGCCACTAAAACACAGCCTCCTACTGTCGTCCTCCATGGCCATTTACATCCAGCCTCCTGCCGCCAAATGCAACCAGACTGCTGGCCGAGAATCAACCGGAAAATAAAAATCACAGAAAATCGGTTCTATTCGATGACTTGTTTCCACTATGTGACGCTATGACGCAGCGGCTCTGTCTGGACAAGTCGGCGTGCGATGGGGTGCTCGACGGCTGGCGGGACCCGACATTAACGGTCAAAGTTCCTTGCCGGCGACCGATTCTTGTTTCCAAGCTGTGAGGCCACGACAGCGGCGGTTTTGGCCGGACAAGACGGACGGGAGATGGGACTGATGGCAGCGGGCGCCCGACTGCAGCCGATTGTGTGTGTGTGTGTGTGCGTGTGATTTCAGAATTATTTTGATTTTTCTTTGTTGGGTGTTGGGCTTTGTGGTGGAAATTGGACAATTTGTAAGGGCTTTTGTGCAATTTCAAAATGTTTATTAGATTATATTTTAATAGTGGGACGGTTTTATAATTTATTAAATGTTCAATATATTTCACATTAACAATACACGCTATGCACGATGTTGTGAAATTATGTGTACATTATAAAAACTGTTACATTTTCACAAAATTACATAGTTATTAAGAAGTCGGATCATTGGTCAGTTTGGTTTAATCGACCAAGAGGATGTCGAAATCGGAATAATATAAAAAATATTATTTGTATTATAAAAACATATTTAGTGTTGTGATATTTGATTAATTATTTTATATTAGTTTTTAATTAAGTAATGTATTATTTTATGTAAACAAAATATAATGTGCAATCTAAAATTTGTTAATGTGCGAATCTTCTAACACAACGGTGTAGGGTGCCGGTCGGTATTGTGCATATTGATTCGGTAATGTGCGAATCTAAACCGAATTACTTAGTTTATTCTGAAGGTTAACTGTATTACTCTAATTATTAAAAAATAATATATTTTTTATGTTAAGACCTAATTAATATTTTAATATTTAATATTTTTTATATTTTGTTCGCTGAAAAATAAATAATATTTTTACATAAAAATACGTAAATATTAACGTGCAATCTGATAGTTATTAATGTGCAACTTGTCTAACATTATTGTGCACTCACAGCGCATCCTATATCAGTTGAACTTTTGCCTCGAACCAAATTAAATTTATTCAGTTGGTTGACCGAAATATTTAATTTATTCGACTGGTTAACCGAATTAACCAAAATGATCAAAATAAAATATTATTTAATTATATAATAATATATTTAAAATTTTTAATATCTATATATTATATATATATATATATATATATTATTTGCTGAAATGAATAGTTTTGTACATAAAAATATGAATTCGATACCGAACATAAAGAATTTAATTGAAAATAATAACAAATAATTGAATCAAAATAACTGAAATTTTAAAAGTAAAAATCATATATATGTACAGTCATATAAACATTTGGTCCGAAAAGTTTAGTTCGGTCGATTTTGGCCACTATTGTGCAGTCTGTCACACATTAATTTGCAATTCTTCTAATACTAATTTGCACTGCTTTGGTCACTATTGTGCAATTTGAACATACTGAAATTTTGTCCAAACTCAAAATTGAAACTGAATTAAATTACTTGGTACAATTTTAATGTGCACATTCTTATGAATTAATGGGAATTTTATTTACTAGTATTATGCATTTGTTATTATTTTTTAAATATATTATTATATTTTTAATAAGTTATAGATTTGACTAATGAACTTAATTGTAATATAGTTAAAATTTCAAAATTGATCCAAGTCCCTGTTGTTAGTGTTATATACTGAAAGCTTGGCTTTGCATGTTATTACTGTGACGCTCCGTTTTATTTTAAAGGATTTACCGAATCTATACTTATATAATAAGAATTAACATTTATCCAAAATAGTAGGTCAAATTATGGTCAATGTCGGATTTGCATTAAATATTTTCCAAAACTAGTAAGATTTTGTCCTTTTCACACTTCTCATTAATTATGTCCTTTTCACACTTCTCATTAATTATGTCCTTTTCACACTTCTCATTAATTATGTCTTTTTCACACATCTAATTAATTCATTAATTACGACATAATTATCATAAATCATTTCATCTGAGCTTTTATCGTGAAAATGTATAGCGATTTGTTATGACCTTATCCCATTGATATTTCCATGAAGCGTCCTTATCGCGTTCTATTTTTTGGTAACCACTCTATATCAAAAACTGGATATTTGGTTAATGATAGCACACGTCTTTATTTCAAGGAGTGGATATTCTTTGACATTTAGTTAATCTGAACTGATTGCCTTGACTTTTCAATTTTTAAAAACTCTTTTCTTAAATATTTCGGCTTAAGATTCGGATTTCATTATACAAGTCATCGGATTGTTTGAATGAAAATGAATGAAAAGAACACCAACAACAGTTAGCCTTATTCATATAACCAATCCTAAAATATTAGTTTGTTCACCAAAAAGAGACAAATCTTAGAAATCCTAAAATATTAGTTTGTTCACCAATCCTAAAATATTAGTTTGTTCACAAAAAATATTAGTTTGATTTTTAGGATTTGTCTCTTTTGAAAATATTAGTTTGTGATAATGAGGAGTTACCAAATAATCAAACTCATAATGTTGTGTACAAGGAGGTTTTTAATAATATATGATTATTACCGAACTTTTTATGATTCAACAATGTTCCTATGTATTTTTGAACGATTTCAATTTCGATCCTAATGCACGTAAGGTTATATTATTCTTTCAAATTTTACATCTCGTGCATCGCACGGGTTACGTACTTATCCTCCAAATAAATATATCCCGTGCTTTGCACGGGTCACGTACTATATATATCCTGTACATTTTTCTTTATTCATGTATATAATTATAAGCCTGGATAAATAGCCTCAAAATTGTGCACCCCGTGCATCGCACGGGCTCTGTACTAGTTTATTTATAAAAATCAGAGTTAATTTTTCGCAAATCTCAATTTAAATTTGAAATCTCAACGGGCGCTACTTATCTACCAAGAACAATTTAACAAAAATACAAACACATCAAATTAATGCTATACATGCATGACTAACAGTTATAAAATTTAACTAGCATTCATTAAGTTCCAAAATAATAAAGTCAAAACATAATTCCAAGGTTCAATCCGACATAATCAATTTATTCCAAAAACGAAGCAGGAAAGAAATCCAAGTCAAAGCAACAGCTTGACAATATCATAGATAAGTAGAAGCATAATATAACGAGAACATATTCAATCGATGACCACCACCCGTTCACCTTTACGCCACCGTCATCAGCTCAGCTCAACAGAAAAGGAAGAGGAAACAACAAAAAAATAATGAGGGGTGAGCAAAACCATCATGCTCACCATTACCGCACAGCTTATCCTGTATAAAAATTTTAAAAACATAAACACAGAATGCATAGAATCCAAGGTCTAACTCCCTACACGGCCCTATCGCAAACCTCCTATGTACATACAACAACCTTTCGATCACAACACGGAAAGGAAGTAACTGGAAACTTTTTCATCTCCGAATACAACGGGCCTGGGATCCTTTCCAGGAGACAGTAGAGCTGTTTTTCCCCTTCACGAATATCATACGGACCGAGGCGTCCACCTCCCGAATCAACTACGGGCCGGCGACCTCTCACTGTTTATGCATTCCACAAAGGCACTAACAAACGGGACACTTAGACTAGGGTTCTCACGCATACAACAATTTTCGAACGAAACATTTATACGAAATAATAAGTGCGATAAATGTAGATACAACGTAAATGTACCCACCTGATTGAAGCGACAATTCACAATCACGAATCTCGAATGAGGAGTGAGTTCAACACCTCAAAACACCTAAATTAAGTCAAGATACTAAAATCAACACCTTATCTTGACTTAAAAAGGAAATCACAATCAGACTTAGCCGAACATGATTCGACTAAGTTGTTCGTGGAGTCCTGTGGACATTGGAACTCTTGGACGTAGATTCCACCAAACCAAAATGGAAGTTCACACAATTACACATAAAGGGTAATCAAAACAAGTCACAAGAATAACATGCGAGCCGGTTCTCGAATTTAATACAAAACTACATTTTGAAAATAATTTCCGAGAATTCACAAATTCAAGTTGGTCCAGCAACCCAACGAGTCAGACTTTGAAATTTTAACACAAAATTCACCTCACTGGACTTAGTCAAAACACTAAATTCCAGCCCTTAACTCAAAACACACGATTTTATAACATTCAAACAACTTTACAGCAAAAACGAGCATAAATCTACAACCTGACCTAATGAACGAATTTTGACTTGAAATTTATACATGAGCAGCTACAGCATTTGTATAACAACATACAAAAATTTCAGCTATTAACATGAAACACACGAACTATAAAAATTAAAACAAGATTCTCCAGAATATGAATTTTCAACAAAACCGAATCTAAATGAACTAAGTCGATTTATCATAAATTTCAACAAAAACCGAATTTTCAACAAGATTCTCCAAAATTAAAAAATTTACAACAACAAGTTGATTTATCATAATTAAACCAAGGTTTTTCAAAATACTTCAAACAAATTTTAACCTTAGCAAACGAAGTCCAAATATCATACAATTTGTGCACAGCATGTAAATATGCCGGACAGACAACATATTAAAAATTCAGCCAATTTGGAGCAAAAATCGATTTAATATGCAATTTATAATATTCTGCCCAAAAATCAAAATAATTATTAAAAATAGCTACATTTGGAATTAAATCCTGAAATTTTTACACGACCTGTAAAATCCATAGAGGGCCTCACATAGAAAATGTCACATTAATTGGAGCAACACATGATTTATCACGAATTTCTCAAATAAACAGGGACTATTTGAGATCGAAAACTCATAACAGGCACATAACTCATTTATTTCGTCCAAGGCCTTAACCATAAGGCCAAGGACTTCCCACCGTTCCAATCCACAGCAACTTAACAAGACTTCAATGTGATCTCGTTCGATTCATATGAATCAACAAAGATCACACATAAACACGACATTATATATAAACCGATAACATGAAATATATGACAAGGCTTTAACATGATTACATAACGCATATATAATCGAAAGAGGGATCGAGTCTCGATACCATTCTCGAGAAATGTGCGAGAAGGGTTTGAACGGGGTTGACGAGACAACGAAAATGACTCGCGGCGGATGCTCGGCGGCGACACGCTCGGCTCGCGGCGGTGAGGCAGCGGCGGAGGGGCGATCGAGGAGGAGCAGCGGGCTCTGTTGGTCGCGGCGTTGCTGCTGTGTGGGTCGCTGGAGTTGGACTGGTCGCGGCGGAGGAGCTTCGCGTGCGGAGCAGGTTCACGGCAAAGAGGACGGGAACATGGGCGACGATCGAAGGTGAGAGGAGGGTGAGGGATGGTGGGGTTTTTCTGTTGAGATCGCGAGGGACAAGAAGAGCGGGCATATTTTTGACGAAAGAGAGAGATTTGTCTTTCTTTTCTGCTGTGTTGCGTGAACGAGAGCAAATCGAGAGCGAGAGATTGAGGGAGAATGAGAGCTGAGCACGGTTTTATAATCACAATAGCTAGGGTTTTATTTCCTTTTCCCTCAAGTACCACACCCACACACGGTTAGGGGGAAAAATGGGTCGGGCTCGGCCGGTTCGGCTGCGGTTCGTGCGGGTCTTCGGGCCGGCTCTCGGGGTCGTTTTAGCATATGATATTAACTCGGTTCTTCAATTAATAATATTAATGGCTCGGTCACACGAAAATAAAATAACCGAAATAATATTTATAAAATACACACATTATTTAATTGATAATAATAATATGAAATTAGGCAAATAATGACAATTAGACATTCAATCATAACAATAATAATAATAATAACAATAATAATAGTAATAATAATAATAATAATAATAATAATAATAATAATAATAATAATAATAATAATAAATAAATAAATAATAAATAATAGATAATAATTTCTAATAATTCCTAAACAAACGGGACATTACAATTACACATTTGCCGTTTATGAATGAGAATCGTATTAAATTAAACAAGTTCTATGTTCTGTTGTTCTGCACTTAGATAGAGTGAGTCATCATCGGGCGAACCGAAGACCACTATATCAGTTACTTGCGAACAAGAATAGTTGTTCACAACCTAGATGGACATGAACACCTAATCCGAACGGTTGTAGTGTCAACTGTACAATTTGTCTTGACTGATTAGTTGCACTAGTACATTTATGTATTGAACAGGATCCCAGAGAGGAGAAGTTCATTTTATACTGATTGTCGTCAATGAATTAGGTCTCGGTTAATTACTGCGGTCGACGACGGCTTGCAGGAAGGTGGAGAGGTTTTGCCTTGATGTCCAAACAGTACAAGATCAACCAGGATTCTACTGCTTAAAGGAATACCAGTTGAATAGGGAAATAACTGTCACAGTTTCCTTGTTTAAAGACACTCAATATTTAATGACCATAATAGTGAATTTATTTATTTATTTAAATTCATTATGCCATTAATTATTATTTATGAATGATTATTAATTATATGCTTGCATGGGATTAATATAGTATTGCAAGATTAATTATGCATGTTAATTAATTATGTAATGCATAGAATTAATTTAGAATTGTGTCAATAAATTATGCATGTAATTAATTATTGCACTGACATGGATTAATTTAGAATTGCATAAATTATTGTACATGTTAATTAATTATTGCATTGACATAGATTAATTTAGAATTGCATGAATTAATATGTATGTTAATTAATTATTGCATTCACATAGATTAATTTGGAATTGCATAAATAATTAAAAATCCTCATTAAATTATACTAAGTTTGAGAAGGGATTTTAAATTAAAGTTAATTGTAAAATTCCTAAGGCCTCCATTTCTAATTTTTGGTAAAACAATTAAGCTGCGGTAATGGGCTCCCCCTCGGGTGACATTGCTAAAATTTAATTGTGGCTAATTACCAGGACAAATTTCTAATTAGACGGTTAGAGGAAATCTTACGAGAGCGTACGGGCTTCCCCTCAAATGACGTATAATCAAATTTGACGAACTTAGGACCGGGAAATGGGATTCACTTAGAATGCGATTTATCTATAAACTCCCCACGGGGTCCCTGGATTTATTGCATGACCAAATGGAGACCGACAATTAATTTCGTTCGTCATGAATTTGGTTTTGACTTATGGAAATTAATGGGCCTTTGAAAAGCCCTTCTCTTACAAAATGCGAGTTTGTAGGGCGACCCACGTAACATGCACTCTCACGAGGTATAATAGATGTCGATGAATTTAAGTTAATATTGTTTTGAGGATATCAATATTAGCAGTTAAATTTAAAAGTGTTTAATCTGTAAAATTTACTTGCATGATTCCCATAATATTCATCATGTCGTTCAATCCGTTGTTTGTCATTCTAAAAGAAAATCAACTTACTGGTCCTAATTACATTGATTGGAAGAGGAACTTAGACATAGTGTTAACTTCTGAGGAGTACAAGGGCACACCCAGAAGGGAGCATGCCCTGAGTGCTATCGCGCAGTTGAATGAGCTAGAAGCATTAGGAGCTAGTATTGACCGAGTAACCCAGGTTGATAAAATGCTCAAGCTTGTGCTGAAAAGTTTTAACCAATTCCAGTTGAACTATGGCATGCATGCGTTATGCACGGTTCTTCCGGAGTTATTGACTGAGCTTTCTGCGGCAGAAGAGGTGCTAGTCGCCAAGCAGGCTGAACCTTCCAGGCCTCACAAGGGTAGGAAAAAAAAGAAGTCTGCAGGAAAGGTGAGGGCACATGATGCTCTGGTTGCTCAACGACTGGCCCCTCACACTGTGGCAAAGAAACTAAAAGGGAGATGTCACAAGTGCAACAAGTCAGGACACTAGAAGGCCTACTGCCCTCTCCTCAAGAAAAGTAACTCTCTCGTTAATGTCGTAGAAACATGCTTAGTGGTTGTATCTACCAGAACCTAGTGGGTAGATACTAGAGCCACTGATCATGTCTGCAATTCGTTGCAGGAGTTCCAAGAAACCAAACGACTTAGGGAGGGAGAGATCACCATCTGCATGGGCAATGCTACGAAAGTGGCGGCTGTTGCAATGGGAGACGTTACTTTATCATTTCATAGTAGTAGTTTGGTTTTGAGAAATTGCCTTTATGTTCCTAGTTTTAGAAAGAATCTTGTTTCAATTTCTAAACTCGTTATGGATGGTTTTTCAGTTTCGTTTGATGACATGGTTATTATTCGTTTTTGAAACCGTTTCATATGTTGTGGTTCATTAGTTGACAATTTATATGTGCTCAAATCAAACTCTCCCACAGTGCAACAAATGAATCGAATAATGTCATAACTAAATCTAATAAGAGAATGAGTCTTCGCAGATGAATCAAGCATATCTATGGCACCTTAGACTTGGGAATATCAACCTTAAGAGGATTCAAAAGTTAGTGGCCAGTGGACATCTCGGTCCATTAGAAGAGCACTATCCAACTTGTGAATCTTGCCCAGAAGGTAAGATGGCCAAGAGGCCGTTTACGGCAAAGGGGTATAGGAGCCAAGAAATGCTATGATTGATTCATTCTGATTTGTGTGGTCCTATGTCGATCCAGGCTAGAGGAGGTTTCGAATACTATGTGTCTTTCATAGATGATTACTCAAGATTTGGGTACGTTTACCTATTGCACCGCAAGTTCGAATGCTTTGAGAAATTCAAGGAGTATCGGGCAGTTGTGGAGAAGCTTCATGGTAAAAGTATCAAGTCACTTCGTTCTGATCGAGGTGGTGAATACCTCTTTGGAGAGTTCAGGACATACTTATCAGAAGCTGGGATTGAATCCCAACTGACTGCACCCGACACGCCCCAGCAGAACGGGGTTGTAGAGCGAAGAAATAGGACTTTTATGGAGATGGTTAGGCCTATGATGAGTTATTCAAGGTTACCAGATTCGTTCTGGGGTTTGGCATTGGAAACAGCATCGTATATTCTGAACATGGTTCCATCGAAGTCAGTTGACACTACTCCTTATGAGATGTGGAAAGAGCGCAAGCCCAGTTTCTTACAGTTTGGAGTTTGGGGTAGTCCTGCACACGCGTTAGTGCATGAACCTGGCAAGTTGGAAAAACGTTCAGAAGCACGAGTTTTCGTAGGCTATCCCAAGGGAACGAAAGGTGGATTATTTTATAGTCCTGAGGATCAGAAAGTAATCTTTTTGACGAACACTAGATTCTTGGAAGAAGACTATATTATGAATCATAAGTCCGCGAGTAGATTAGTCTTGGAGGAGTTAAGGGGTGAAGTCGATGGTTCCCCACCGAGTGCGCAAGTAGGTACATCACATAATACTGCAACATGGCACACTGAGAGTGTACCAGTGCAGACAGTGCCTCGTCGCAGTGGGAGTGTTTCTCATTTACCAGGAGGCGTAGAATCGAACCCAAGAACTTACGATGAGGCACTCCAAGATCTTGAAAATTCATGAAATGTTGCAATGAAAGCTGAAATAGGGTCAATGGACTCCAATCAGGTCTGGGATCTTGTAGAACCACCCGATAGGATACGACCCATTAGATGTAAGTGGATCTATAAGAGAAAGAGAGGATCGGATGGGAAAGTACAAACCTTCATAGCTAGGCTTGTTGCGAAAGGTTATGCCCAGATCGAGGGTATTAATTATGATGAGACCTTTTCGCCAGTAGCTATGCTTAAGTCCGTTCGGATTCTTTTGGCTGTAGCCGCTCATATGGACTTGAGGTCTGCCAAAAGGATGTCAAGACAACTTTTTTCAACGGGAACCTACAGAAAGACATCTATATGCAGCAACCAGAGGGATTCATTGCTGAAGGTCGTGAGCATATAGTGTGTAAGCTTAATCGGTCTATTTATGGACTGAAGCAAGCTTCAAGATATTGGAACATCCGTATTGATGAGGTGATACAGTCGTACGGGTTCACACAATGTCCGGATGAGCACTGTGTTTACAAGAAAATCAGTGGGAGCGTGGTGGTGTTTCTTGTGGTTTGCGTAGATGACATACTGCTTATTGGAAATAGTAAGAAGGAGTTATCAGACATAAATGTGTGGTTGTCTAAGCAGTTTGATATGAAGGACTTAGGTGAAGCAGGACACATTCTTGGTAATAGGCTCATTAGAGACCGTAATAAAAGAAAGTTGTGCTTATCCCAGTCTTTATACATAGATACTGTCTTGGCCAGATTCAGCATGCAGGATTCCAAGAAAGGTATGTTACCTTTCAGACATAGAATACTTTTATCTAAGGAGATGTCTCCTAAGACATCTAAGGAGATAGAGGAGATGAAGACAGTTCCTTATACTTCGGCAGTAGGAAGTCTTATGTATGCAATGTCGTACACTAGGCCGGATATTAGCTACGTCGTCGGCATGGTAGCTAGAAGATATCAAAGTAATCCGGGA